GTGTCCTCAGGTGTGTCCGCGGCGTGTCAGGGGTGTCTGCTGTTAAGTGTGTGAGCAGCACTGTCTAGAACCACTGGTTACCTTCTACCTCCCCGGCTGGGGGGTGAGGAGCCCCCAGCAAGTGCCCGCACCGTGATTTGAAGCCGCGCAGGCGATGCGGCTGAGGGTCCGATGCGAGGGTCAGGAGCGGCAGAGGCCGGGAATCGTTTATTTCGCTGAAAGGCGTGATTACAGTGCTAAGCGCGTGCCCGGGGGCTGGCGCCTCTGAGCGCACCAGCGTCCACAACGCCCCCACACTCAGCAGGTCACAGGCAGATCACCTTCGCTAATCCACTTTTTTTTTCCATTTTCTGTTTTGTTATAAACACCATAGCAAATTAAAAAAGCTGTTTAAACAGAGAAAAATATGGCAGTTCTTGATTTTCCGTGAGTACTTAAAGCCGTGGCACAAGGCCGGCTTGCCCCCGACGCCCTCAGGAGATGCAGGAAGGGTGGCAGGTGGGTGTCGTCTCATCCTGCATGGACACTTCTCCCGTGAGGCCCCCAGTGTGCTCGGCCACCGGCCCCGCGCTTGGCCACGGCACAGCCCCTGGCGTGCAGTCCAGTGCAGCCTCACTGGATCTGGATGGCCCCGTGCTCAAGCTGCATCTCCGGCGGCAGCGACGGCTGCAGACTGTCGGCCGTCTGCGGGACGAGAGGAGGTGGTACCGTCTCCCCAGGAAATGCCCAAGAGCCCATTGCTGGTTGCCAGGGATCTGCAGAGTGGTCAGGGAATGGTAGGAGGGGACCCACCTGTGTGGCTGCGGTGTGCTCTGTCACTGGTGCCAGCTGGACATACTGGACCTGGATGTCACCGCCCTGGAGAGGCCCATCCACGCCTGTGGCACTGGGATCTGATGAGGCCACGGCAATCAGCTGGGCGCCCTGCAGCACCTGGACAGACAGACAGACAGTAGGGCATCATTGGGGAGCCAGCACACTGTCCCCACTAGGGACCCAGGCCTGTACTCTGCTCCCCCCAAAATCGCTGGAGTCAATCGCACGAGAGATGCACAGAAAGACAGAGCTGGGCAGCTCCCCACAGCAGCAACAGGAAGACATACCAGAGGCCAGTTCCGGCACTCCCACCCCTGGGGTGGCTGGGTCTGAGAGAGGAGAGCCAGGGACCTCTCCCCGAGGCGCCACACACCTGTCCCCACTCTCCCTGAGCCCTGGCACACCTCCCCACATCTGCACTGCCATCTCAGCAGGCCACTGGCCAGCAGAGGGGACACCGCCCTGGCTCACTAGGTCAGGGCAGCAGGAGGGCCAGCATCCCTCAAGGTGTTCTCACTGTGGCAACAATGTCCTTTCCTGGTCCCCTCTCACAAGGTGCACCTCTGTCACTGTCACAGACCAGCCCCACCCCCATGCTGCTAGGCGAGATGAAGTCACTGAGCACCATGGGGGTGTGAGTGCACTGGTCAGCCCTGGGAGGCCTCACGAGGCCATCTGTGAGGCCACCACATGCCAACCCAGATGTGCACAGGGCAGCATAACACAGCGTGAGGCCACAGTGCACAGAGAGGCCTTGGGAAGTCTCACCAGTGTGTGTGTGTCCACTGCCCCAGGTCCATGTCAGTGCAAACCCACTGAACAGCTTGGGAGCACGGGCCAGCAGGCTTCCCTGACCAAGGCCCTGAACGGCTGCCAAGCACATGCCCTGTCCAGCAGAGAGGGCTGCTAGCCAAGAGGGGAGAGCCAAGGCATACCCCCACCAAGCCCCTCCTCCTTGCTCCCCATCCCCACCCAGAAGTGACTGGTACTGCCCCTGGGCCAGTGGGCGGCCTGAAGACCTCGCCAAGCCGGCCACACAGATCTGAACTCCAGAACACACTGAGGAGGCCTGCGGACA